TACAATATATGATGACAACAATACTTATGTTTTTATTAGAACATCATAAATGGACATAAATTATGTTGACCACTCAGGAGATTGAGAGACTAGACGAAGTCTTCAAACATGTTAGTTGAGTCATATTCAACCATCATATTCTCCGTGCCCATAGGGTCCCGTCACTGTTGGTGATGTCGGGTTGAAGGTTGAAGTGAGCTCCAAACATTTGCCCTTGAGGTCTGTTGTGTCCTAGGAATTGCTGATACAGAATAATCAGATGCAGAGATCTGAATTGATATAATGCCTTATGATGTATAAGACAATATTTTTCTGTTAGCGGTGTGATTCCGACCAGAGGTTAATCATGTGGTCTTGGATTGCACACACTATTCCACAAGACACAAGAGTGATCATGATGTCCATGCCCAGGTAGGGTAGTGGTGGCGATTGAGGGCGAATGCCTCAAATTCTCTAGCCATCGGTTACGAGAGATAGTTAATTTATGATTAGTAAATTGAAGACCACCATGGTAATGCTGTAAAATTAATGGATATTTCAAGAAGTTATCTTGAAACCATTAATGTGAATCTCAAATTGCTAAGCATGACACCTTGAAGATAATCTCCAAAATGAAGTAGATCTCGTAGTACTAGGGAGTATAATCTGATGAAATCAGTAGATACTCACTCCTAATGCCTTATGTCATGACTTAGTAAAACGCATGGGAGTGCATAATGTTGTGCAATCATAATGTCAAATTTGACAAAATGTAGGCTTAAACAGTAGTGGTGATAATCTGCAAAGCAGTAGATCTACACACTACCTCGGGATCCCAATACATCAATTTGAAGAAATCACTAAGAATTTTGCATATGTATTTGCAAGAAATTAAAAATCTCAATTGCAAACAGACGTATTAATCTCGACATGTAGCGAACATGGAGATACATACATTCCGGAATACAACGTACTCAACAGAAATACACCACTATTATAAATGAATAGTAATGATGTTGCAAACTTGATGTTCAAGTGAAAAAACTTGAATTATATACACCTCAAATTTAAGAGAGAATTCCTTATTTGACCCTTTCTTAAAATTTGGTTCCTTTTTTGGCTCAAAAAACTTCTTTTTTCCCTTTTTGACACTTAAACTTCATTTTGTTCCTTACGTGACACTTTCATCCATTTTTCCATCCGACGGTGTTAACTATGATGTACAAAGACAATTTTGCCCCTGGTAATAATATATGTCACCAAGAAAGGGGAGAGAAGGAGCGTGAATATGAATGTATGAAAGTGTTGCGCGTTGGAGATTTCACGTTCAAATATTCATATGCACCCGCGCCCGACCAGTCACGTTGCACAGCTCGATCCGCGGCCGCAAGAGCGCGGCACTAAGTTGCTCACGCACGAGTACGTACAAAGCTAGCACAAGAACCATGCAAGCTAGCAACTTGATTGATTTTGCCTGAACACTGAATGCACATCTAGCCGGCACCTCACATGCGTACGCGAACCAGTAAAAGCTAGCGCTTAATCGATCGGATCAATTCGATCTTGGCGGAATACTCTCGTGACTATCCTACTGACTCGTGTATCTCTATTTTTAATGAACGAGTTGGTTGAATAGTCCCATCATTTTCGTCTGGTTTTTTTTCGTCCCACCTCCCATCATCATATCTTCTCACGTTGGTTTTTTTATCCTCATAATGAAAACTTTCCTAACTTTTCAAAATTTTCTAACTAGACATGTTACAAACGGGTAAGAAACGATAGCACATTACCAATCAATTATAAATCCTAACTTTCCTAATGCATTGATCTTTGCCTTTTGTTTCTAATTTCTACTCCTAATGTGTCAGCACTTAGGTCGGTTCGTTCGCTCGTTTCGGTCCTTTCCCATCGCACGACATCCTCCCCTTCTGCCGATTTTTTCCTCGCACGATCTCGTCTCCTTCCAGCGATTTTGAGTGGAAAAACCGGTCAAACCTTCCATGTCTCGCTCCTGAACCTACTCCTCCCGATCCAATCGTCCCCGCAATCATCGCACCTGCCCCTCCCGATTCAGCCCCGCTCTTCCATCTCGCGAGAGTCAGCCGCACCCCACCCGCCCCACGACCATGGCGATGTTTCGCTCCTCTATCCAATTTCCCTCTCCCTCTCATCCTACCGCCGCCGCTTCCCATGCTCTCGCTTGCCTGCTCCCCCTTGAGATCCGATGCCAACAAGCTACTATGGCGGCCGTGTGACACACAGGAAGGAGGAGTTCCCACAGCATCCTGCGCGGGGCAGGGTATGCTACTATAGGGGCTAGGGCATCCCCACCCCTCTCCCTTCCCTCCTTTTTCTCTCTACTCCAAGCTTCAATGACGGCAACTGTGGCCCCTACCCTCTGCTCCATCAGCTCCTTGTCTCTGCAGAGCGTGTCATCCTCCATGGATCCTGGTGGCGCTCAGGATCTCTCACCGTATGTCCAGCAATATCGGCCTTAAGGACGATTGTGGACTATGTCGCCTGCTCTAGAAATCGATGGACGCAACAGGTAGAACCGTAGAAGTATTTGTGTTTTTTTTTCTGTTAAAAAAAGCACATTGAGGCATGTGTGATGTTGATGCGTACGTGATGTCCAGGAGATTTCTGATGCAATTTTGAATGGGGACTTGAAATCTTCAGTTCAAGTTCTATTGTCATTTGATATTTGCGGACATTTGTTCATGCTTTTTCTTCGATTTTAGGCTGGAAGTATAAAGTATAAACACATGTACATAACCTTATTTTGAATTTCAGTCTCATCAAAGATGGGATGTTCAGAATAATGTAACATCGGCATGTTCTAATAAATAAAATAAGAGAAGGTTGGAGGCTTAGTAATTACATAGTCAGAAAAGTGGGACTATGGTGGATTAGAAGATATGTATGTGTAGCTGCAAGCATATGTATTTGGATTGTCGGCTGAACAATGTTTCAGCTGAAGATCTCTGGATTAGATATATGTCCAGCCATTCATTATTCCCATGCTTGTTCTAGCCGATCAACTACTGTATTTGATTGATGACATATAAACATTTTTTGATGGAATTGCACATCCAGACCCCTCATGGTGTTCAAGGATGGTTTCAGCAGCTGGCAGTACTGGTACGTACGTGATGCAGAGCAGTTCGGACCATGGAATTCTTCTACTCGATTCAGAACAGCATTAGCGTAATGTGTCGGTCTGTACTTACAGTTTATCGATCCAAATAGATTTGCAAACAACTTGCTTTTCCATCATGCTCATTTCTTGTTGGCATTAGAAAATATCTCTGTTTTTCACATTAGCACTTTCAATATGGATTGTTCTTCAAAGTGCCAAATGCCGCATCATTGCTTACGATTCTGCCTATTGGTGGGAGTGGTGCCAACAGTGTCCACATATGTATCTTCTCATTATTCATATTTTGTTGTTCAATAAAGTTAAAACTATTAGCTTACTGGTTGCAGTATAACTATTTCTAGAATTTACAATGTGGTTTGTGTGCCTACCGATTTAACTTGATGAGAGAAAAATTAAATCTATGCTATTCAAATTTTAGTGGGGACCGTTTTTGATTTTTGAAAGCACTGCCTAGAAGGTAGCTCTAAATAAATCTTCAATAAAATCAGGATTTTTTTTTGTTAAATTTTGTACTTTTAGAAGCAGATACTGTTCGTTGTTTTTTTATTCACAACGGTACATGTTCAGTTATGTATTCATATATCACCGTACAGAGTTTTAGATACGAAGCAAACAGCTAAAAGGTATTTCGGATTGGAAGAGCTTAATCTGTGATGTGTGATGTTTTCTAATGGCACTGTTTATTGTACTATAATTTAAGATATAACTCGTTATAATCCTGTTAAGTCGTACCTATACATCTGACAACCAACATGTGTAGTGATCTACTCAGCCATCTTCTTAAAATTGAAATTTCTTGCTAATTATAGCTGCGTGCGAGAATTGATTTTCAATCTGGTAGCCATTAGTATCTTGTAGAAGGGAGATTACTTTACTTCAGGGTACAGGATGTTCTGATCTTTATTTTTATTGCTTTCTTATATGCCACTGAATATTTTTTTACATTGACTTCCTTCCTTTCCTTTCATTCTCAGTGAAGAAAGGAAGCCTTGTGCCAAGGAGAAACAGAACTCTCGCTGTTTCTTGCGTTCACCGTACCGAAGAAGTGTCCAAGGTAATCAAAATCGTTTGGCGATACCCTTGCCTGCAATTAGATTACAACACATTTTTTATTATGACAGTTGAACGGCGCTCAAATTTATGTGCTAAAAGTAGCTCAATGCTGTTTACCTGAATGAGTGCCCACAAGTACAGGTGTGATGCTAATCTGAAGGTGTTTGTTTCAGTCTAAAGGCCATCCAGATCCTACTCCTGTACCTTTGCTAAAAAAAAGTTTGTTATGATGAAGGTACATTACGTGAAAATTATCCATGTTGTGCTATTGGAGGAAGACACTTGTTTTCTCACTAACACTCTGAATGTCTTCTTACCTTGTATTGTATGAATGCCTAAATTTCTTTTCTCATAAAAAGATGCAAATCATCTTTAACTTAATATATGTATAAATGTCAAGTAATTGTAGCACATGACCTGGTGTTTGTGCTTTATTTCCAAATAAGAACCAAGCTACTCTTTTAGTCATAATCAGCAAGAAGATTGAATCATCTTTATACTGAATCAAACACCTTGAGATTAAAGCCCCATCTTTATACCGAAACAAACACATACAGATTTTATTCCAAAATAAGAAACAAACATAATTAAATGGGAACTGATCCAGTCCCTTACCTCTCACCCCTATCGCTCCCGTGGACGACGGCTGGGTGAAACCTAGCTTTGCCGCCTCCCTCCACTCCACCCTCGCCGTCACCGGAGGGTCTCCGACGCCGCCAAGCAAAGCTAGGGCAGCATTGGGGCGGCAAGGCCCCTCTTCCTCCTCGCTGGAGATTGGTAGCACGGGTTGTGCTCGCTTGTCGGGGACATGGTGCTGGCGTGGGGCGCGATTGCGGTGACGTGTGCGTTCACGCAGGCTGTGTGGGGGTTCCAGGGTGAGTGGCGGCGCACACGCTGGTGTCCTCGTCGCGTGGGATAGGCTTGGGTGCAAGAAGCGGGCAGTCCTCATCGATGGTCGAAAGGGTGGGAGGCGGCGTGGGCTTGGTTGGAGGGTGTCTTGCGGTTGCGGCTGTTGACGTGCCTCGCCTAGGCGCTTGGTACCCTGGCTCGCCCGTATGTAGAATTGCCAGATATGGCGGGTGGCGGCGGCTGCCCCTTCGGCGACGTCGGCCAGGCAGCGGCTGACCATGTTGGAATGGCCACCGAGACTTGTCTCTGTGCGTGGATGTCCTATCTTGCACCGCGCCGGGTCTTCATCATACACTGTCCTTGTCGAGGAATGAATTTGTGGCTGAATGGTTGTGGCTTGGTGCTCTGTTGGTGACGTGAAGGTCCGATGGTAGCCGTAGGTAGTAGGTTGGGTCGCCGGTGCAACCGTGCTGCTTTGATGGCAATAGTTTGTTGTCGGTGGCGGGGTGCAGGTGGTGGTAGTGCCATGCCTTCTCCGGGTCAAAATTGGCGGCGCTTGGGTTGCTTGCATTATGGGGATGGCGACGACATGGGGCTCATGCTCGGGTGGGCCAGCTTTGGGCTCGAGACAGGTTGAAGACTTTGCTCCGAGTAGGTGAGGTAGGCATGGTCCAGGTGGTGCTCGTTTGTGGTGGTCATGTTAGCATTGCATCGGTGTGCGGATTGGCGCCGGTGACCCATGGAAATGGCGCTGCGTGAGCTCGCCTGGCCAAGGGCTCGGGGCTGGCTCGCCGGTGGCTGTCGACATTGTCGGAATCGTGTCCCCCGAGTCCATCAGGTATTGGCTAGGGACACAGGTGTGGATGCGTCCTACAGTTTAGGCGCCTACCTAGACTCTAGGACTGATGCCGGGCTAGGAGTAGATGGAGTGTCGTCGCTCTTCCTACCGTGGTTGAGTGCATTGTGATGTGGGCGGGGTGGCGGCCCCGGATGGCGGTCCACGCGGTTGCTCTTCAGCAAGCATCATTGCGGTGGTGGTAGCTATCGTCCCGGGTTGTGTGGGCAACGGGAGGTGTTGCCACGGGTAGCTCAGACGTGCCCTCTGTCTCGGTGGGGTGGCGTCTTGATTTGGATTTGGGGATCTGACATCGTCGCACTACTTTTGGCGGCCTCGTGATGGCAAAGGGTGAGGTTCCTAACAAAAGCTCTGTGCCTTGGCGCCGACGGCGGCGACACCCGAGGGTGTCGTGCTCTTCTTGAAGACGTCATTGTGGTTCTTCTTTCCGTGTCAAGGCTTCGGGTGAAGACTTTTGTCCGGTGTGGACTCGACAGTGGCAACGCTCTGCACCGCTATCCCTCTTGGGGGTGTCGTCGAGGAGTTTAGGTGTATGAGGTTGTGGCGTGAGGGTGTTTAGTTATTCCGATACTTGTTGGTAGCATAATTGTGTGTGTGCTGCGTGTGCCGTATTTCCCCAGGTCAGCTTTGGAAGAGGGCTACCTCACCATCATGCATCATTCGGTCTATACTTCTTCGGTTGTTGCTTTATCTATAAAGTGGGGCGAAAGCTTGTTTTGAGAGGGATGTGGGAGGGGGCGGAGCAATCGGGCCTGGGTATGGGGAGGAGATGTACAAATGGGGGAGAAACAGACCTGCGTCACCGCCTCCTTCCTGGTCACTGGGGGCTCAAAGGGGTAAGTTTTGTGGGAGATGGGCAATTAGGAGGAAAACGGAGTGGGATCCGTCCGAATGGTGGGAACGAGCTTTGCGTTGGAGCCAAAGCGGCATGGAATTGGCCAGGTGTTTCCAATACGAATTTAGTATACAACCAAACATCCGTATTGAGATCAGATGATTACCAACTCAATTTCTTGGGCTTCAATGAAGACATTTAAATGCAACGTTATATGTATTTTAGCTGCAACCATCAGTTTTTATTATACTTACTCAAATATCATGGGAATGAAGCTAAAAACAATATTCCTGATATTGTGCGAGAATTCTTTTTCTTAGCCTTGAAAACAACAAGAGTCTCCTACTGTTATATATTACTCAAAATAAAGTACCGTACAGGATAATTACATGGCCAAGAAGCAAATAAAAAGAAAGCAACTACGATTTACAGAGAGAGGTTTGGGATGAAGCTATCAAGAAAGGAGACCAATTCGGGCTTAACTCTGAATTTGAGATTTTCCAAGTCAGTTTTGAGTGCTCTTTTCCAATCATACAGGGATGCAACAATCTTGTCAAAGTAACATATGTTCCTTTGTTTCCAAATGTTTCAGGCGGCCGGGACATTGATTGCATTGAACAATGGGTGTGGCCATGAAGACTTCACTGCATCAAACATCTCCTGAAGCTCCAAGTTGGTGTCCCATTGAATATTGATGGAGTTCCAATAGACCGCACTGAAGATGCACTCAAAAAACAGGTGTTTGTCCGTTTCCAGTGGTGTGGTGTTACAGAAAAGACATGAGTGACTGCAATATCAAAATGTCTCCGGTGGAGCATGTCCCTTGTGTTGACTCTGTCCATTAACATCAGCCAGGCGAACACTTTAAGTTTCATGATACACTTTGTCTTCCAGATCATTGTGATGTATACGGGTGGCTGCAGTTCTCTGAAGAAGAAGTTGGTGAATTTCTTGGGCCGAAACTGAACTTCTCCCCAACAAGTAATCCATTCATCAGCCATCATTGGTTCCAAGTAGAGATCATTCATATGATTCTACAGACATCTAATTCCTGCAGCGCCTCGGTAGGGAGAAGCATGTGGTCTGTCTTGGAATTACACTATAGAAATATCCTCCTCCCTTGTGAAAGAGAACATGTGTGGCAGCTTGTTGGAAAGGGGTTCGTCATCGATCCAAATATCTTTCCATAGAAGAATTGTGTCACCGGCTCTAGGAATGCAAGTTGTAACCCCTCTGTATATGTCCATCAACGAGAACACATCGTTCTGTATATCTTTCCATAAAAGAATCGTGTACAATTTCTTAAGCGCAACAACTAGACATTGATTTGTAATAGAATTTCAGTTGGATCATCACTCTATATGTATACATAGTTAATTTATCATTTTTTATCAATTTACATTGCAAATGAATTGGACTACAATAAATACCCGATTGTGCCCGTGTTATCTTGTTTCTACATGTGAAATTTGACATGCATTATGTTTACATAATTTCCAGCAAAATATTTTCGTGACACGTGACAAGGCACCGACATTCCTATGCTATCTTATCTCTGCATGCGAAATTAAACAGTCATTGTGTTTATATAACTTAATAAAATATTTCAAAAGCCCGTGGCAACGCACGGGCACTCTACTAGTATACATTGGTAGTGAGGAGACATTTTTTTGGAACGATTCGATGGAGACATTTTACTCAATGGAGGCGTGAGCTTGTGCAGCAAATTGAGGCGTGAACACAGCTCAGGGACATCACCCATCGAGGTTAAACTACCACCCGCGAGATTAATCTGCACAAAATTATACACTACAGTCTACAGTAGAGGCTGAATGGGTAGTTATTATTCCACTCATCATAATATTATTAGTCCCCTGCAATTTTTTTAATGATTGGTAATGTATTACTATTTTTTTATTTATCCAACCACGACAAAATATATCACATTACCTCTTTGTTTGCATGTGAATAATCTACTCATATACTATACTAGGGATAAAAATGTCTTTTTATGTCAGACTTAACACCGTTACTAGCCAAATCTGACGAAAGTGTCACATAGGGAACAAAATGAAATTTAAGTGTCAAAAAGGGAAGAAAAATGTTTTTTGGGCCAAAAAGGGAAGCAAATTTTAAGAAAGGGCCAAATAAGAAATTCTCTCCAAATTTAATGAGATGTTCTTGTATCAAGTTGCAAGATAATTCAGCAGGGTGAATTAAATATTTTGCGAGAGAAAATTAATCTCATTCGCAATGAGATTGTTTTGCGAGAGAAGAAAGTTCTCAATCGCAAATAAGTACTCTAGAGGTACGAAATTTATTTTTGCAAGAGAAAAAATTTCTCAATTACAAATAACAGATGTAATTAATCTCTACACGTGACAAACGTGGAAATATATTACATCGCTGATGAATTCTGGAATACATACATTGTACTCGACAGAAAAATAATAAACAGGTCTAGAACAGACTAAATACTGCTAGAACTACTGTTATACAACTAAGTTGCTGATAAGCTGAACTAGTACTGGATTACTAGTGTAGAGATCAAGCAAATAGCAAATAAACAAACAGCCACGGTACTGTTGGTGCCATGATTCCCTGCCGATGCACATGGCCTTGTAAAGGCGGTCATACTAGTCAATCTAAAGGATAAGGAGAGAGACCAGGGAAAGAAATCCCATGCAACTCATCCCCAATCCTCGCGAAGACACAACCAGGCGGAGAACACCAGGTCGGCCGGCCGCATCATCGGCGGCGAGCAAAACTCCCGCCGCGCTCGTCCTCACATGAAGAACCACCGGGGAGATGGGAGCCCGAGCGCCGCGGGCTCCGCGTGCCGGAGTGGCCGTTCGACGGCAAGCACGCCAGTGGGACGCCGAGGGCCAAGAGGCGGCGGCGAACTTCCACGCGCGGCAAGGGCGGGTGGGTGGCCGGAGTCGGGGACAGCAGGCACAGCGGCGTGGCAGCGTCGCCCGGGACGCGCGCAACCGTCGGCAACCTCTGAAGCGGTGCGTCGCCGACAGCCTCAACAACCGCTGGAGTCTGATGCTGCAGCGGCGCGGCCCCGACGGTTCCAACCTCCTGAGGCGCTGCTACCACCAGGTCAAACTACCCATCCATGCGCTGAGCACCAAAACGGCGGCGGCGGAGCCACCAGTGCCGGATCGATGCCCCCATCGGCCTCGAGCCTTGGTGCAGCCGGACCGGCGAAAAGCCGGGCGGGCACATCGGGCTGCACGGGCTGGTTCGAGGGCCCCGCGCCGTGCCGGTGGTTGCGACGGAGGTTCTGACGGCGCTGGTTCCAACCTCCACGCCGGAAGCGGCGGAGGTCGCGCACATGACGCTGGAAGTGGCGGTGTCGGCCAACACCATGGCGGCGGTGGCGAGCGACGAAGCGGTGGCCACGGCCATTGACGCGAAGGAGGCGAAGAAACAGGGACATTGGAACTCGAGGCATGGTTCCATTTCTCACCTTTTCTCTGTTTTTCTTGTCTTCTCGTCGGAATCGCTCTCGCCGGAGAGCATGCCGATAACCTGTTGGAACTAATCGAGAGGCAAATCGAGAGACAACAATGAATCAAACTATACTTTATTGATGATGATTGTACACTTATATACATAGGGAACAGACGTTTTGGAGGGATGCGACCGCTCGTAGAGGCGCCGTTTCAGGAACTGCCGTGACACTTCGCTGGAGTCCTGGTACCGTACGCGATGTGTAGGAAGCGGGGATTATCCCGTAATAACCGCCAGGGTTATTTATTTTTAACACTTTCGACGAGATTAACTATGTCAAATTTGCCGGGCGGGCGGGCGGAAGACTTCAGACCTGTAACCAAACTAGTAAACGTGCACGTGCACGCACGTCTCAACAAATACAAGTGTTAATAACCACTGTATTTTTGGATGTTCTACATTTTAACTAAAATTTTAAATATTTTTTAACTGTATTAACAAACAATCGAGCGCACAATATTGAAGCAGTACTATCTAAAATACATCACACACACTAAAATATTAGAAATATTTTTCAACAAAAAAATATACATAGATCTATTCAAGACCAAGAAGAATAGTGATGAACGCTAATGTTGTCATCCTTCTAATCACAACATTCATTTGAAAGATTTGATGTTTATACAGAAAACAAATAAGTATAACTTGGTTCTTTATCAGAACCAGAAATATTGCTTACAAAGGTGATGGCAATTGTCATTGATAAATGGGTAGGGGCTATCAACCAAGCACCAAAATTTGGTTGACTACCCGCAAAGCTAAAAGTTAACTCAATTTACAGCATGGGGCTCTTGCAGTGATATTTGTTCAGACTATCTGGTGGAAGTATGAACATGTGAAGCTACAAAGCAAAAGAAATCTCAACTGTAAACCTCTCTTCGAAACACATGTAGCCCTCAATGTAGTAGAAAAAGCAATGGACATAATTTCTCGATACCGACTGCAGGGCAGGTGTCCTGAATGTAGTAGGCCAGGGGAGAGCTACATACATCAAGCATGAACTATTACTGATAAGAATTCTGACCACCCATCGATTCCATAGCACCTACAATTCTGGAGTGCAGAAAAAAAAAGTATTAGTTAGAAACAATGAAGTACATAACATATTGCAAGTTTAAAAATCAAGTATATCTTCCCATGATCCCCCTTTCACCAGTCAAATAATGTGGAGTATAATGAAAAGGGAACTAATCTTATATGTTCTTTATTAAGATTATTTACCTCTGCTTATTTGTCAGTTATGTTCTAAGAGTCGTCCATCTTAGGGTCTTGCTTCTTCATCTTCCTCCACGTATATTTGGTGATAAGATCTATCTTCTCCAGCTTGTTCCTTTTCAGGACCTTCCCCTTACCCCTTCTCAGAATCATCTCTTGTGGTACCCCTGGAATTAGTATGCAACACTGATAAATTTAGGCTAATGTAAAAATATATGTGGTACTTCAGACCTTGTACAGAAAAAAGAATAAGACATAGTTTGTAGAACATGCCATGTATATTTTTATGGTTCAAAAGAAGACACTCCACTACCATTATCATTTATCAATGTCTACATCTTCTTTTCTCTCACAAACCCACAAGCAACAAAGTAAGCACACTAACACCAAAGATATTTATGTAAAAAGAGTTATTAGCACAAAAAATCCACTATAAACCGAACCGAGCACAACCGAGTAATTCATAACAGCAGGTGAACATCTAAAATTTTATCAAGATATCTCAATGTAGTAGCCAAGGGGGCCTTTTCTGTCTTAAAATTTCGTGAAGCATGTTGAGCTTCCTAACACTAATAATCAGTAAACAAAGCCATTTAGATTTGTCGCTAAACAAGAAAACGTAGCATGTGATTCCCACCTATAGAAAGTTTATGTACTTGGAATTTCCATCGCTATCTCATACATTGTTAGCATTGAAGGGATCTAGATGATAGATAATAAAATCAGACTAAAATCTAATGGTAAATAGTAAACTCTTACTTCCTAACATTGGTAGCTCCATGATGCTACCGGTGGGTTCAAGCATCCAGTGCTGTCACGGCAGTTTCTGAGCTCAACTTCCCGACACGGTCAATGGCAAAGGAACAAGCATCGAGTTGCCCACTTTTACAATTTATATGGAAAAATATACGGAGATGCAAGCCTGCCCAA